AGGAAGTTGCGGCAGTGGTGAATGTGCGCACTGTCGGGGTGCGCTGGGCCTGTTGGAGTCTTCCTCGTCGGAGCATGATTGCGCTCACATAAAAAAGCAATTGAGAGATGCAGGAGGTCCTCGTGGCTGGGGGTGGGGGGGCAGCCAGGTGTCTACCCGAAAAACCCAAGTAGCAGCGAAGTCAGAAGTTTGTGATCTTTCTAACTCGGCTGTTGTTAGCATGTTTCTGAGTTTATAAACATTTAAGAAATTGCCCTGTGACTGTGCGAATCGAGTTAATCACTAATATACTGCAGGAGGCAGGGCTGAAGCAGAGAAAAGGTGGATCGCGTGAGTCCTGCCACCGGCCGGTGCCCTTGCTCCCTCCTTGTGGCGGAGCGTGTCCAGGCACCACATCGGACAACTCCAAACCGCAGGCCGGTGCCATGGGTGCTTTCCGAAGGGCGGGTGGGACTCTGGAACCGATGGCCGCCGCTGTGCGATTTAGGAAGGGCTTGAACCGGGGAGCGTTGGACTGGGGACCTGGGAGAGCCAGCCGGAGGCGCATGGAGTGGCCCTGCGCCAGCCCTGCCCCCTCGGCCCAGCCCACCTCGCGGGGTGGCTGTTGCGAGGACAACGGTGGAGGACTAAGCTTTTGTGGATTCCATGCAAGAGGAGAAATGCAGGACAGACCTATGCATGCACACCGATTATGGGAGCGGACCTGCCATTTTTAGTGCTGGAAGGAGGTCTGAGGGGAACCTCTCGCCACCTCTGTCCCGGTGGGTGTAGCTGAGCGATCCATGGCCCCCTGCCACTCCAAAACTCACCACACCCTTCGACATGGGGCGGTGTGGCCTTCGGCCCAACGGGCCTTCACGGGGCGGGGGGAGTCGGGGAAGAAGAGACGGCTTCGGCCTTGGGTGGGAAGACTTGGCCCGATGCCGGGTCTGCTCGCGGAGAAGCCGTGTGGCGGCAATCCAGCCATGCAGGTTTCCCAGAGCCTCGATGGGCCACCTTGGCAGGCCAGGTGCAAGACCTTCCTGCAGCTCAGGAATGGCCGCCCTCGCCTGCGATTCTGTCTGGGCTTTCCGAAAATGTGCAGCCATGCGCCCAATGGCAGAGGACCGCTGCTCAGGGCGCGAGCCACGCCAGTGCTGGGTAGCTGATGTGGAGAGCGACGTGGCGAGTACAGTGGGCTACCCCGGTTCTCCCAGAGGCCTAAAACCCGACTAAGGACACTCATTTCTCCCCCAGGGCAAGTTACACTCCCCACAGATGCCGCGGCTGCCCTCTGGAGCACCTCTTCCACATCTGGCCCCGTCCAGGAGTTTTAGGCTCCAGCTCCAGGCAGCCTCAGCCAGCATGGCCCGTGGCTCGGAATGCTGGGGGCAGTCCAAACATCCAGAGCGCCCCAGTGGGGGAGACTGTTGGAGACGGCGTTCCCACGATGGAGGAAACTGTGCTAGAAGAAGCTGGAAAGGGATCAGAGGAGGGCAGCAAGGATGTTTCAGGGACGGGAGACCAAGCCCCGCGGTGAGAGATGGGCAGAACTGGGCATGTTCAGCCTCGAGAAGAGAAGGCTGAGGGGGAGAGGATAGCGCCCTGGAGGTCCTTGAAAGGCTGCCCCAAAGGGGAAGGGCAGGAGCTCTCCTCGAGTGCAGGACACAGAATCATGGGATCAAGTTCCAGGAAGCCAGGTTCTGATTAGATACCAGGAAAAATTTCCTGACGGTCAGAGCGGTACCGAAATGGGACCCATGGGGCTGGGGAGGCTGCAGGCTCTCCCTTGCTGGAGGCCTTCAAGATGCAACTGGGCAGCCCCCTGAGGCGGGTGCTTGGACTGGGAGTCCTGCGCTGAGCGGGTGCTTGGACTGGATGGCCCTCTGGCCCCTTCCCGTCCAAGTATTCCGTGCTTCCAAGTCATGCAAAATGGTTAATGCGATGATCAGGACAGTGAGTCCATAAAATATTTGACAGAATATTCTCAAGGAATATCCTCATCCAGCGTACTCTGTGCAACTGGATGTTCTTCCTCTTGTTGTCAGGAAGAGCTTCCTCACTGTCAGGGCAAGACGGCAGTGGGACCGGCTGCCTGGAGAGGTGGGGGGCTCTCCCACACCAGAGACATCCAGAAAGGAACTGGGCAGCCTCTGAGTGGGGTGGTGTGACTGGGTGTCCTGCACCAGCAGGGGCCTTCTGGCCCCTTCCAACTCTGTTTTAGGATTTTTCCTAGGTAGGTGAACCTTTCTCCCCCAGTCCAAATAAACTTATGTTGGAGTTTATTATGCTTCCACTTTACTGCTGTTCAGCTCAGAGGAACGTCTACGATTCTGTGTAGGCTTCGAAGCACGGAAAGTGGCAGCGAAGCGATCAAGTGTGTGTGAACACAAGGAGATGCACGGACGTGTCATAGCAGTGTGTACTACGCACGCCTGTTGCAACCAGAAACAGCTGCGTTTTGACCAACCCTTGGAACAACTCCGGAGGATGTCTGTGTTATGGATGCGTCTTCCCTCCACAGGGAAAACAAACGGCCCGCGGCCACATGCTTGGCCTTTTATGTACGGAGTGCATGTACGGAGTTGGCTCCCAGGCGTTGCGTCTGACCAAGCCCCAGGCGCTGCAGGCCAATTAAGGACGCGTGCTCCCTTCCCTCTCAAGGCTTGTGCCCGAACCTGCTGCTGCGGACCAGGGCGGGTCCCTTGTCCCGCGCGTTGCGCCCGACCCAAGAGGCTTTGCTGGGGGTTCCCGCACGGCTTGGCAAGGCAGGCCTGGGCAGAGAGCGGGTCCGTCCGGGGACGGAGCAGGTCACGCACCGCCACCCCGGCCGGCCTCTGCGGCTCCGCGTGGTGGGCTTGCCCCCTTTTCCCCAGGAGTGAGGCGGTCCCTGGGCCCCCTCCCACTCTGGCTCCACAGCCCCGACCCTTCCGAGCGGCCCTCCGGCCAGCCCAGGCGCGCAGGGCAGACCCAGACCGACAGGGCCCCTTGCTCCGGCGGCGCGTCTGCGGCGGCTCCGTTGTGCTGTCGGCCGCAGCCTCCCTGTCCCGGTGAGGGAAGGCGCACGGGCTGCTTGCTTGGCAGCTCGCCCGCTGCCGGCCCAGGGGCCTCCGTGCCTGGGAGGGGAGTTCGGACTGGGCCCGGCCCAGCCAGAGGCTTCCAGCTCCGAGGCGTGTGCTGGCCTTGGCCAGGGGGCTGGAGATCGCGCTGCCCTGGTTTGGGGGGAGGCGGTGGGCTGCAGTGGCGCGGGAGCCGGTGCGGTCATCCCCCTGTGGTGGAGCAGGCCCCCGCGGCTGCTGCAGGGCTTTGGCCCCTTCTGGTTGGGGCCAGGAGGGAGTAGCAGCAGGACCAGGGCCTCTCCCGGCTTCCTTGGGTGCCTCAGCAGCGATCCCAAAGGTCATCCAGCCAACCCTTTCCACCTGGAGCATCCCAGATGGATGCCTGCCAAGCCCTTTTCTTGAAAACTTCCCGGGAAGGGCTGGATCTTCCTTGCTGTTGGCACTGTGCCACCCAGCCTGTTTAATTTTAATTGATGCTTAAAGCTCCTTTCAGCCTAAATTATAGCATCGTGGCTAAGAGGAGGTTCCATCCCTGTGGGAGCTCTGAACAAGAGCCTCACAGGGTCTTGCCCTCTCCCAGCCCCAGCCCCCTTCCCCCGGCCGTCTGGGAGAACAGCACCACCCTGTCTTGCAGGGCTGTTTTTCAGGCCGAAGCCGATAGGGTGTTTAAAGTTTGCAAGGTCCACAGGCATGCTGGCATTTCCTGTTGCTTTGCACCTTCGTGGACAAGGAGCACCAAAGCTCCCGGCCGCTCAGGCTCCCTTCCACATGTTGCAGCACAACCGTCGTGTCTGCCCTCAGTCCCCTTCCCCCTCCTCCTGGGGGCTTTTCGCGCAGCCCTCAGCCAGCTCCTCCCAGGCCTTCTTGTGCTCTCAAACTCCTGCTTGATCCAAGGTGTTCCGAAACGAACGCCAGGCTCAGGGGGACAGCTCTGGCGCTTTGACCCGTTTCTGTTCTGAAAGATGGCATTTGAAATGAGGTTGGCCACATTTGCCGCAGCATCGTGGACGCCGGCTGAAGGCGGTGCGATTATCCGGAATAATCCCTGACTCAGTGAGGTCAAGCCATGCAAGGGGGGTGGGGGGGTCTGATGCGTTTTGTTCCACGGAAGCCCATCTGCACGCAGCCCTGCCTGGGGCGATGGTGGGTCCGGCTGGCAGGGGGGATGCCAGAGAGCCCGCGTGGCGGAGGGAGCGGGCAGGCGGCGCGGGGGCTGTCAGCACTGGCCCAACAAGGCGGGAGTCCATCTCAGGCAGGTGGCTGCCCGCGGCCGGCCAGGGGTCGCTGACGCACCGCTGCCCACGGCTCTGTGAGCGGGTGCCTCGGGCACAAGTGGTGGCCGGCCAGGGGCGCCCCCGCACCGCCTGGGCGCTGCCCCCGAGGCCTGAGCGGGACTGCGTGGCCACGCACGCCCCCTCGTCCAAGCGCCCCTGCGTGGCCTCCTCGGCTCCTACCCCCATGCCCCACCCCGGGCAGCTCCTGGGCGCTGGTGGCTGCCTGCGCCACCCTGGAAAGCGCCCCTCGCGCGCGCGCCTGCCTGCCGGGGGCTTGGCTGGCTCTCCCTACCTGCTGCCCGAAAGCGAGCCCGGCCCCTTCCCCGCCGCGGAGGCTTCATGAGCGCCTCGCTTTCGACATTATTTTTAGGAATTCCTCCAGCCTGTGGCCGGGCTCGAGGGGGAGGGCGCGGAGGGGGAGGGGAGGGGGACGCGCTTCCTCCCCGCCCGAGCGGGCAGGAGCCGCGGCTGCTCGGCTGCGCGCGGCTCGTTAACAGAGCGCGGCTGTTCGCGGCTGCCAGCGCCTCGGGCTGCCGGTGCGCGCGGGGCTCTGGCCGGGTGCCGCAGGGCGGCTGCGGGAGGCGCGGGCCGGGGGCGCGGGCAGGGGCGGCGCGGGGGCGTGTTCGCGCGTCCCGAGCTGCAGCCAGATTAAGAGCCGCTCCCCTCCCTCCCCCCTCTGTTTTCCCAGAGTTTTGTGATCGGGCCGCCTGCGAGGCCATGGGGAGCCCCAGCGGCGGCGGCGGCGGCAGCAGCGGCAGCGGCGGCGGCGGCGGCAGCGGCAGGACGTGAAGGTAAGCCGCGGCAGCGCTTCTGGGCCGCGGAGGAGGACGCCGCCGGGTGCCCGCCCGCCCGGCCGCCCGGACTCCGGTAGCGCCCGCCCGTCCCGCCGGGCTGCGTGGCGCGC